TGCCTCCACTCTCTGCTGCGAGAGTCGCGCTCTCATGCGGGCTGAGTTTAATTCCACACCCAGGTAAATAATACTCTGGGAGGGAAGAGGGCAGCTCTTCTTCGAGTTTATTACGAAACTCAGCTTTGACAGATGCGATACGAGCTGTACCGTCTGTAAAGCAACTTCCTCCCTGGAGCGAGCCAGCAACAGCAGGTTGTCCAGGTAAAACAGTACTCTCATCCCGCCTCTGTGTAGCGGGTGCAGCGCCGTCTCTACACACTTTGAAAAGGTGCGAGGAGCCAGGGAATAACCGAACGGCAGACTGTTGTACTGGTACGATATTCCCTGGAATGAAAACCGCAGGAATTTCCTGTGTTGTGGGATGATGGGTACGTGGAAGTATGCATCCTTTAGGTCTATAGAGGTGAACCAGTCTCCCTGGTGAACACACTCTAGCACCTGTTTGATCGTCAGCATGTGAAAAGGCCTTTTCATTATTGCCTCGTTGAAAGCTGACAGATCGAGGATGGGTCGCATTCCCCCTGTCTTTTTCGGGACAAGCAAATATAAGTAATGGCCCTGATTTTTTTTTCCCTTGAGGAACCCTGGAAATAGCCTCTTTCAACAGGAGTTCCCGCAGCTCTGACTGGAGCGCAAGACACTGTTCCTGGGATGACAGGAGTGTTTCCTGTATCCCATTGAACTGTGGGGGGGAGGCGAACTGCAGGGTGTACCCTCTGCTGATCAGCCTGCTCATCCATCTGTCCATCAGACACACGCACTGCCACTCTGAGAAACACTGAGAGCGGGCGCACATGCACCCGCAGGCTGGAGCCAGCTAACGTGCTGGCGGATGTCGTCCGCCTGTTCCGCAGCCGCCTTCATGGACTCCTCCATGGAGAGGAACTGGGGTCCGAACAGCCCGTCTGGGCTGATCGGAGCGTCCAGTAATACCTTCATGGCCGGCTCTGTGACAGACGCCTGCTGCAGCCAGAGGTGGCGCTGAATCGGCGTCATCCACGCAGCGATCCTTGCCTGGGAGACAGCAACGGACGCGCACATCGTGAGCGCCGTGCTGGCCGCCTTGCTGATCTCCTCCGCCTCATCCGCAGCCAAGGTGGTGGACCGCTCCATCAGCGTCACCACCGAGTTGGAGAGCAACGCGATGTTGTTCGCCGACGCCTGAAAAGCACACTGATGCGCCCGGTCAGCCTGGCGGGCGACATACTGGTCCCTGGTGGAGGCCAACATAGGGCGCCGTCCGGCGATCATGTTGGCCTGTCTAACCCCAAAGAACGCCGTCAGGCTCGGCTCCAGAGAAAGGGTGGTTGGGAAACCATCATCTGTGAACCCCTCCACCTTGGTGAAGGGAACAAATGTGTACACCGGAGCCCTCAGGGTCCTTGGGTTTGCCGCCGCCCCCCTCCTGATACCTCCTGAAGCGCGGCCAGACCGGATCACTCCTGACCGTCTGCACCCGGGAAAAAAACTCCGGCCATGTCGTCCAGAGCACACCTCTCCCGACCTAGGGGAACGGGGAGACCTCTGCAGGCGGCCGCCTTGCAGATGATCTCCGGCAGTTCCACCATGATGCCACCTAGAACCGTGGAGGGAGACGGGGTAGGAGTCGTCCGACTCCTGCCCGGCACTCGGCTCCAGGGACATGCTGCCGTCCACGTGCTCGAAAGCCTGGACGGGCCAATCGTCCTCCTCGGTCGCAGCAGCGAGAGCGTCCGCTCTTCGCTTCCTGTCGGCCGAGGGGAGACGGGCACAGTGTGAGCATGCGACCTGCTGGCTGAGAGCCGCGTACGCGTGCTCTGGCCCCAGGCAGGATTCGCACATTGCGTGTTGGTCGTAGCTCATGATGTATCCTTAGCCACATGAGGGACAATCTCGAACACAGTTGTTGCTCATGGTTGACTCTGTAATTGAAATGTCTCTGTGCTTCAGTAACGTGGTTTGCTGAAGAAAAGAGGGAGCAGATTGTCGGGCCTCCTTCCTATTTATACCGGAAGGGAGCCCGAGGGTGGCGCCCACCTTGCGGGTGGGCGTGGACTACAAGTGTTTCAGTGCGCAGGGGGATTACCCAATAGCGATAGCCTTAGAGGGCGAAATAGAACCGCGTGCACCGTGTGTATATCTGATTCCTTTCTCCTCTTCTCATTGGCTGCTTTGACGATGGGCGGGTCTTCCACCCGGCTTCGTTCCTCTGGATTTATTTCGCATCAAATCAGAGGATTTAGACGTTGTGTGTTTGTTGTATAACTCCACACACCTTTTCTCCTCATATTCTCATTCATGACTTTTTATTTGGTCAATTCTAACGGCTGAAAACAAAGATAACGTGAACCCGGAAGTGACGTAATGTAAACAACCGGGTTTTCCTTCAAAATAAAGCTTTTCAAAATAAAACGGTGTATTTATTTAATATTCACATAATATATTGATTTTAATTTCTTACAGTAGGAAGTGTGTGTTTGATAAGAAATAATCTGTCCCAGAATAAACCCACCTCGCAATGTCGTACACTCGATCAGCCACTCGACCGCCAACCTGCAGGGAGAAAGGGCAAAAGAGTCACTGATTCAATTTGTATTTAATGACAGCTTCTTATCGTATTTAAATGTGCTTTTATAATGAGTTTCTTTGCATTTGAACTCTTTTGATGGTTAATGGCGGTGGTGGCGAAGTCGATAGGGACTTGGCTTGGCAACTGGAAGGTCACCAGTTCAAGTCCCGGCAAGACCAAGTGCTACCGAGGTGTCCCTGAGCAAGGCACCGTTCCCTACACTGCTCCCCGGGCGCCGTTCAAAATGGCAGCACACTGCTCCTAACACTAGGATGGGTCAAATGCAAAGAAACAATTTCCCCACGGGGATTAATAAAAAGTCCATCTCTAATGTAAAGTGCTTTATATTGCCTTGTTGTTGAAATGAAATACTATGTAATCATATTTATAATATATAAATAAACTTGAAACAGTAATTCAAATGTTTCTTGCAGATTTGTATTTTTCTCAAGATTTCCCAACATTAGCAAGGACTCATTTAGTCCATAAAAACCTCAATACAGTACAGTATATAGTGCCATACAGTAGATCACTTTATTGAAATGGTGTGTTTGATTAGAAAAATGTTAAAGTTTGTACACATTGGGATCTAAGTTGGGTGTGAAGATTTTTTAAATTCCCATAATAATGACATATATATTTTACAAATGAATGCATGTTTGACATATTTACTTACTTACTTTGTTTACAAGGGATCAAAGGATCACGGGTACAAAATAGGAAAAATCTATTCACGAGTATTCATTCATTTCATTCTAGTTAGTATCTCGCAACCAAGTCTGTCAGATTCAGACACTATATTAGGGGTCGACCGATCGGCCAGGCCGAAAATATCGCGGCCGATAATCCGCATTTGACCGATTATCGGTCTTTTTTTTTAATCAAATAAACTCGGGGATAAAACTGTGGGGGGTGGGGGGTGGGGGGGGATTGGGCTGCGAGTGGAGCCTCGCAGTTTTTCAGGTTGATATGTGAAGCTCATTAGCTAGCCAACATGTATCTAGCAAATGTTTCGCAAAATATTAGAAGTGAGGCTACTAGACTAACGTTAGGTCTACTGTAATAGCCTCACTTTTAATAGTTTGCAAAACATTAGCTAGCAGTGTTTTGCAGTTGCAGCTTATTGGGATGTTATGCTAGATAGACAGGCATTGTTTTGATGTAATAAATTAATCATTATTGTTAGTTAAGCATCTCAGCCTGCAGCCCCACTTCTTGTCTCTCTCTCTAACTCATTGCAGATGGCTGCACTAAAGAAAAGGACAGAGAGGAAACCAGTTGTAAGATGTTTAAAAGTTCATTAAACATAATATATGCTTAAATGCATTTCAAAGAAGTTGTGTTGGAGTTTGTGTTCTTCTACTTTTTGACACTAAGATCTTCTGATTTTACTGCAAATGTATATCGGTTCCAAATATCGGTTATCGGTCTCCTTGATTACTAATAATCGGTATCGGCTTTGAAAAAGCCATATCGGTCGATCCCTACACTATATGTCCCTCTAAGAAGCATCCTGGTGGAGAAGACACCAAGACAGTGACTTTTACCAACTTAAAGCACGTAAATGCAGTATAAATATAATATATGATATACTTTATTGATCCCAATTTGAGAATTGTTGTCGTCACAGCAGCATGTAAACAAGGCATGATTGCACACAGTGTGACAATGAAATATAGTAGGAAATAAATAAACGTAAACATAGGATATAATCATCTCAAAATAGTAAATACAACAGAACTAAAAAGTAAAATATATGCATATCTTTAAAACTGTTACAATGTGTATTTTGTAAATTGTATGCATGCTTCTTAGGTAACATTAAGCTGTCTTTGGCTCTTTTCTGATTATAAAAAGGTTTTGTAACACATATTGTAAAATAAAAATAAATACATCGAAAATAAATGTAATATAAAAATTCAAAAATGTAATGCGACAACAACCCATCTTATATCTGTCACATATACACTATTAAAGGGCCAATTACAGCTAACAATATGCACTTTTAATATTTCTGTGACTCCTACCTCGTCCCTCAGGTAATCGTACTGGTTTCCTTCCCGCAGAGAAGCTGCCCAGTTCTTCTGCCTCCTCTTCATCTCCCTGTTGAACACATTCATGGAGCCTCTGCCCGCAGAAGACATCCCTCTGCAGCCGGAGATCAGGCTCCATCTGCGGCAGGAGGCAGCGGAAGGAGAGCCAGCTGTCTGGAGGAGTCTGAGGCACACTCCGGTGCTCATGGTGCCGGTTAAAAGCGAGAATTAAAGCAGAAATCTTCTGAACATCAGAGCATTGTACAACAACTGATTTCCTGCTGTCCTCCACAACCGTGACCTCAGGAGGGAGGAGGGGAAACTGTGGAGCTGGATTATAATGGGTTCAACTGAAAATATGGAACTGGATTCACTGACTGGAAATGGACTAAAGAAATTGACTAAAATGTATGCTGATATTAATGTATGTCAAATGTGAGTACATATGTCTTTGTAAAGCACTTGATATATACTACTATATACTACAACTATATGTTTTTGAGTGATTCCTTAGTCCATCAAATGGCAGAAAATAGTGAAAAAGTCGACAGGTTCCAAGAACACCAAGTACTGTATTTTAAATTACAATTACATGAATCAAACATCATTATATAGGGAAAGCTGGAACAAGAAAATATAATACATATTTTTCTAATTGAATAACTCAACGTAAAATGTATAGAGATTTATTTTTCTGTTATTTCTTTTAGCTTTAAAGTGTTTAACCATCGAATTTCTCCGTGCGCGTTTTCTCTCCTTTGTCCCACTTCGCTTTCCTTACAAACAAAGGGGCGGGAACATAGAAAGGTCAAGGAAGAGGTGCATGCTGGGAAAACACGTGTAGTGGAAGACCAGAGAGGTATGGCTACAGTTTTGTGATTATTGTTATTTTTAAACGATGTTTCAAACACATTTCTCATTATATGTTTACATATACATGCTCAGTGTTGTGTGCATTTGTCAGCTGCTGTCTGGTTTTCCCGCCGTTACTGTTCCTATTCACTATTTCGGACATATTGTTTACATGTTGACTGAAACTGAAGCAAAGCGCAGGATTTCTGACATTTAACCATGCATTTAACTCAGTTTTAACATTTCATTTTTAGATAGCAGAAGTCAAAACGGCTCTATATTTCTCACAGTGAAAAGACTGGGTTTATGTTGTTCATTACATGCTCACTTAGTGATCCAACCACAGCTTCAGTAATACCTAACTATTTTAACCATTATAAGTGGTTTAAATACATTTACTTAAGTACTACACTTTAGTAATGAATGTGTTCTTTACTAGTGTTGCATGCATACAGTGGGGCAAAAAAGTATTTAGTCAGCCACCAATTGTGCACGTTCTCCCACTTAAAAAGATGAGAGGCCTGTAATTTTCATCCTAGGTACACTTCAACTATGAGAGACAAAATGGGGGGAAATAATCCAGGAAATCACATTATAGGATTTTTAACGAATTAATTGGTAAATTCCTCGGTAAAATAAGTATTTGGTCACCTACAAACAAACAAGATTTCTGGCTCTCACAGACCTGCAACTTCTTCTTTAAGAGCCTCCTCTGTCCTCCACTCGTTAACTGTATTAATGGCACCTGTTTGAACTCGTTATCAGTATAAAAAGACACCTGTCCACAACCTCAGTCACACTCCAAACTCCACTATGGCCAAGACCAAAGAGCTGTCAAAGGACACCAGAAACAAAATTGTAGACCTGCACCAGTTTGGGAAGACTGAATCTGCAATAGGTAAGCAGCTTGGTGTGAAGAAATCAACTGTGGGAGCAATTATTAGAAAATGGAAGACATACAAGACCACTGATAATCTCCCTCGATCTGGGGATCCACGCAAGATCTCACCCCGTGGGGTCAAAATGATCACAAGAACGGTGAGCAAAAATCCCAGAACCACACGGGGGGACCGAGTCAATGACCTGCAGAGAGCTGGGACCAAAGTAACAAAGGCTACCATCAGTAACACACTACGCCGCCAGGGACTCAAATCCTGCAGTGCCAGACGTGTCCCCCTGCGTAAGCCAGTACATGTCCAGGCCCGTCTGAAGTTTGCTAGAGAGCATTTAGATGATCCAGAAGAGGATTGGGAGAATGTCATATGGTCAGATGAAACCAAAATAGAACTTTTTGGTAAAAACTCAACTAGACGTGTTTGGAGGAGAAAGAATGCTGAGTTGCATCCAAAGAACACCTACTGTGAAACATGGGGGTGGAAACATCATGCTTTGGGGCTGTTTTTCTGCAAAGGGACCAGGACGACTGATTCGTGTAAAGGAAAGAATGAATGGGGCCATGTATCGTGAGATTTGGAGTGACAACCTCCTTCCATCAGCAAGGGCATTGAAGATGAAACGTGGCTGGGTCTTTCAGCATGACAATGATCCCAAACACACCGCCCGGGCAACGAAGGAGTGGCTTCGTAAGAAGCATTTCAAGGTCCTGGAGTGGCCTAGCCAGTCTCCAGATCTCAACCCCATAGAACATCTTTGGAGGGAGTTGAAAGTCCGTGTTGCCCAGCGACAGCCCCCAAAACATCACTGCTCTAGAGGAGATCTGCATGGAGGAATGGGCCAAAATACCAGCAACAGTGTGTGAACACCTTGTGAAGACTTACAGAAAACGTTTGACCTCTGTCATTGCCAACAAAGGGTATATAACAAAGTATTGAGATGAACTTTTGTTATTGACCAAATACTTATTTTCCACCATAATTTGCAAATAAATTCTTTAAAAATCAGACAATGTGATTTCCTGGATTCTTTCCCCCCATTCTGTCTCTCATAGTTGAGGTATACCTAGAATGAAAATTACAGACCTCTCATCTTTTTAAGTGGGAGAACTTGCACAATTGGTGGCTGACTAAATACTTTTTTGCCCCACTGTATGTGATGCTGATTTTGGGTCATTCTGCAAAACAAGTACTCTTACTTCAGTTTCTAAGATTTTCAACGACATAATTACTCTGTAGCTATGTTAGTTTGGCAATAAAGAACCTTGAGTTATTTAAAGTATATTTGAATGCAGGATTTCACCTCTAACAAACAAACTTTACACTGATGTATTGCTACTTTATTTAGGTTAATCTGAATATACCCCCCCCCCCCTTATTGTCTTCAAGTAATAGTTTATTTTGTTAAATGTAAAAGAGGGGTGTTTAAAACTCATGTGACAAGCAAGACTGCTTAATTATTTCCAAACCAAATGTCTAAAAACAGTACAAAACATAGGTTTAAGAAACGTTGTTCTGGAGTGACCTAAAACAGTTAATGATGTCTCAATAATCTTCAGTACATTAACCGTTTGTAGAGGATAATCAATACTAGCTAGCTTGTGTTATAACAAGGTTTATAGAAACACATATATTTATTTTCAGTTCTTGAATCACTGTTGTCTAGTTTTCACCATTACTTAAATCAATACTTTTTTCCAATAACCTCTTAAATGTACGGCTATATAATCATAAGCTTGAACGTTTGGTGCACTAAATACACACAATCTTCTGTGATAAAGGCGCTCATACACATGATATAAGAAAGAAGCGTAGTGCTTGTTGTCCATGTGACTAATCCAACAATATGTCCTTTCTCTATTGGTCAGGTGACACGTTCAGTTTGCCACCATGTCGTCCAATAAGAAGGGCGGCGATGAGCGTTTCCTCCGGGTTCAGAAGGACCCCAGGTTTTGGGAGATGCCCGAGAGAGAACGCAAGATCAAGATCGACAAGCGCTTCCAGTCCATGTTTCACGACAAGCGCTTCACGGAGAAATACACGGTGGACAAGAGAGGCCGACCCATCAACCAAACCTCCACCGAGGACCTGAAGCGCTTCTACAACGTCTCCAGCTCAGAGGACGAAGACGACGATGAGGAGGGTGTGAAGAGCAAGAAGGTGGCAGAGCGCAAGAAGAAGAAAGAAGTGAAGGAGAAGCTGGTGAAGGTGGAGAAAGAAGTGAAGAAAGGAAAAGCAGTGAAGAGCAAAGACGTTAAAGCTAAAGGACCGCCCGCCTGAACGAGGGGTCAGAGTCATAGAACAGGGTGAGTAGATGTCTCTGAGGCTCATATTCACTGATCCAGGCTGAGGAGAACCGAGCACAGATTCAACTTAATAGATAAGAAGTAGGTTTACACATACAAGGAATTTGGCCTTGATGTGTAAGGTGAATAAAATCCATAACATAAACATAAACACAGGTAAAGAAGAGAAAAGTAAGAAAAACAACAAAAAAAAGATTTTAAAACAAAAAACTATTATATGTTAAGATATAGAAAATAATTTACATTTAATCTGGATATCCCAAAATCTATGTACAGTATTCTATGACAACATACTCAGAATAAAACAATAAAATATGTTGCAGTATTGATATGGAAAAGGGGGAAAGATGTGGCAGATACTAAGAGAGGTAGCTCGTGTGAAAATGTGCATGCATTTCAATAGATTTCATGCAGGAGGAAACCAACAAAAAAAAACTATAAAATGAAGCAAGAGCTTTAGATGAAAGCCTGGTTAAAGGTGGGGTAGGTAATTCACTTCAGAAACACTTTTTGTTATATTCCATGGAATGCTCTTAACATCCCGATAGCAATTAATACATGAAATGCTTTGACAATAAATACATAACAAAAATGTCATCTGTGGAAGCCGTTAGGGAGGCCAGCGATTATTCGAATATTCGTTACGGTCTCCATAATCTAAAATGATTTTAAAAATTCGATTTAATTTATATATTTTTTATTATTATTTATGTTTTGCTTTTTTCTGGCTTAGTTTCAACCAAAATATAGACTAATGCTAATAATAGTAATAGTATTAATAATTGTAAATGGCCATTGGTCACACCACCAGTTTGTTTTACTGTAAACTTGGAGGAAGCGTGGAGTACTTCGTGACCACAGAGTGTGAACGTTGTGATCAGCTGTTTAGCGCAGTTCTCCAGTGAAGGGGGGGGGAGTCTCCCTCCGCTGCCGGTTGGCGTAGTTTTGGCACAATTCCGTTATACAGACCGACGTTAACAGCAACCCTTTTTTTTTTTCTCCTGCGGGGGGGGGGGGGGGGCGTCGAATAATCGATTATTATTCGCCAGGGCTGTCCGATTTTCGATTTTGATCATGGTCAGTTTCTGGCATCCCTAGGAGCCGTAGTACTGTAAAAAGCACGACCAATCATCTGAGCCGGCCCGGCTAAAATAACTGGATGGCCTACCTGCCTGTCAGCCTTCCATCTGTCCACAAACTTATCTCGTGCCCTCATTGGTCATGTGCGCGTTCGTGTGTGATGGAGGAGGGGCTCTGTAAGGAA